ATCTCGGCGGCCAATGATCCCCTATTTTCTCCCCTACAGGCCCCCAGGCAGGAGGCTGGCGTCCGTCTGCAGCCTGCGTCCGCCGGTATCGTATCACACCCGCCTCTGGGCACAGGGTTTTTCGCAGCAGACATGGATTGAGCTTGCGGCCCCGACAGCCATGCGGTCAAGGCGTCTGGGGCGGGCTTTTTGGGGCTTTGCCTGGCTGTTTCGCGGACGCTAGCTCCAGTAGCGGCAACGGGGGGGGGGGATGCTCGCAGCCATTTATAATGGATAGCGAACGAGCGGCGATTGGTGTTGTTGGTGTTTGTACTGTGCAGGACGGAGTTACGAGTCTGGTACTTTACGGGCATGCAGCGCGCAAAACTAAGGTAACCAGACTCACCGTTGAACCCTCCATGTGCTGTGTACTCGTACATGTATCCGTACTTGTACCCAGGCGCCTGGATTATGTCAGAGTGCGCGGCACGGGAAACCATCGGCACGTCGGACCAAATCCACGTATGCACATCGCAGGTGCCATTGATAGAAAGCGGCGCAAAAAGGATCTGCCAAGGTTATAGTGTCTATTAGGTCAACAGGCATAAGAGACAAGGACGAGTATTGGATAGTGCTGCCAAGTGCTGGAACCGCTTCATGTACGTACCAACTCATACCGCAGTACGTGCTACTGCCTGTACGAGTAAGTGACGTCCGTTGTAAATGTTTAGGATGCAAAATGGGTTGCATCGAGATAAAGTCCGAGCCGGAAACAACCAAGCCATGGACGAGGCCTGTACAGGAGATACATTGGTCCTGCTGGCACTACCTCAGGTAGTACTCAGGTAGGTAGTATCTGTCTACAAGGTGCATGTACTCGTGCTATTGAATTGATCCATTGATCTTTTATCAGTGGCACGAATATCAAGAGGCCCTCTCCTTGGCTTTACGATAAAGGCACTCCCTGATAATTGTTTTTTCTTCCTGGTTCTCGCCCTTGGTAAAGTCAAGGTACAACCAACATCTGTAACATCAAATTGGAGGATCACGGCATGCACTTGCAATCAATGTACCTAATTACAAAAGTAAAATGCGGCCGTGGTAGGAGCTGTACCTGGTGGGTTAGTAGATGCCAGGTATACTGCACCTGACGGAAATATACCGAGTACATGTAATTTGAGTCAATCAATGCTAAATGGGCGTGCAGCCAGTACCAGTACCAGTACCAGCAGACAGCGCAGTCTCTACCTGTCTCGGCATGCTCTCTTCTGTTAGTGGCTTGTACCGGTACGGCATTCCGGATCGAATTTGAATCCAAAATCCTTTGGCACCAGACCTTGAAGCTTTGAGCCACTCTGGCTGGGCAGCACTTCTTGCCTCATCCATGCCTGGTTGGCCAACCTCCAACCGCTGCCTTTACATCATCCAGCAGCATATTAGCCAACCGCCATTGACGCCTCTGCGAGCCGAACCAGTCGGAAGCCTCTCATGGGAGAGATGCTGCTATCACACGAGCACGATATGTGCCAACCTGCGGGGCCCGAAGCCCCAGCCTACATGTATGTACGAGCATGTACGAGGACTCGTAGGAGCCAGTCCCAGTCGTCCATGTCTTGTGTCGCTCGCAAGCCTGGCTGCAAATCTGCAAGTCTGGCGAGCGTCCATGTCCATGTCCATGCCCATGCCATGGGGGATGAGATGAGCCCTGCCGGGGCGACCCGATGGCAGCAACGAGCGTTTGCCTGCCGCTCAAGGTCAGCATCCAGTCCAGTTCAATCCAATCCAATGGTTGACAGCCTCGATTACTGCAAGGCCGACACAGTACATACGCTACGCTACTGCTGCCCTCACTTGTCCGCCAGAGCAGAAAGCTGCTGCTCGACACAAGGACAAACGAGTTGCGGCGGCTTCGTTCGTACAAGTCCAACGGGCCAAAGCAACGCTGCATCCGTAGCGCGGAGCGACTGCGGAAGCGACATGCTCCATGCCAGCAGAGCCGGAAGCATGGCTGCAGCTTCACCAGCGGGCCTCTTGGAAGACGTCGATCTGCAGCGCCGGCCGAGCTAGCGGTCGGAACCGCAGCTTCACACGCTCGGCTGTCCGTTGAGCGCTTGCTTGTACTATTACGGCACTAGTCGTACTCGTACATGGACAGTTGAAGCCGGTGCTAGCAGTGGCAGCAGTCGTGCTTCGTACTCCAAGACTGGCTACATTCGCATCCCGAGATCCCAGCAAAGCCGCTACCACGCGCGCGGACAAGGACCATGAGATCAATGGTCTGATCTCCTTGCTGCTTGCCCTGCAGGCCAGCGTCGACGGGAAGAGGCTAGACGAAAAAGAGAGACGGGGGTGGAAGAAACCGCTCTCTTGTCATATCTGGTGAGCTGAGCTGAGTGCTCCGGACAAGCACCAGCAGAATCTCATGGCAGCCCTCCGGCTACGGACAGACAGCGTTTCGCCACATCAACGTCTCGTTTTGGAAACCATTCCCGCCCCAGCACTGACGTTTGTTGCTGACGTGCTTGACTGACTTCTGGAGAACATCAAGTCACTCGCATCGCATCGGCTTCGCACATTTATGCATATGGCCGTGCGTGAACGGGGGCACAGAGCACGAACCCACCGCAAGAGTAAGCTGTGGATGCAGTCTCCTCGCTCATCCCGCCAGAGTCGGCATGTAGCCTGCCTCTCTTGTGAGATGACAGCTGCCATGTCCCTGCTCTGGAGATGCCCGCCTATCAATTCGTCAGCTTCTTACACGCACGACGTGCTTGGTGCCCCATCCAAGCTGAAGGCTGAAGGCTCACGAGACAAGCGCTTCCGCAGTCAACACGCCGCACTAGTCCGGAGTACAGAATATTGGGGCTCCGGGTTGAGAGATCAAGGCCGTCGCAGCTTGGCGCACCCAGCCCATCAAGGGCAAAGACAGACCACGGCGCCTCGCCCTCAGCCAGTAGCATGGCATTCTTCTCCCTTTGTCCCCGAGAGGCGGATTCTGTATCTGGGCTCGTATGCCCCCCAACCTCCCGCCGCGTGCGTAGGAGCCTAGCCTAGCCTTGCTGAGCACATGGAGCACGACCCGCAGCGGCAGACCGCAAACTACATCCGCTCAACACGCAGTCGACCAGAGGAACGGTGGATACGATGCTCTACTGTACAAGCAGTCAGTCTTCTTAGTACGATGCTATTCCGGGCGCCAGTACGATTACATGGCCAACCTTGCGCTTGTGGCTACCGGTTTTGCAGTATACAGAGCGTTGCCAAATCACATCTGCTCCCTTTGGTCGCTCTTCCACTCATGCAGATGGCATGCTCAAGATAAGTTAGACCTGCATAGCCTCATCCGATATACTCTGTTCCAAATCAGCACCCAAACAAGTCACGCCCGTCGGGGATTATCTGCATCTCTCGCTTATGGACAGAGCAATATTTGCCACTCTTGGTTGGCAGCTATCGACGGCCCTCCTCACCGATTGGTCGCGCAATACTCGCCGGAGGACGTGCTAGTACAACATGCTACCATTGCTCACTCTTACTCTTAGTCTTACTATTGCCTCGAGCATCTCGTACGCACAAGAAGCCTGCATTCTCTGCTCTGATTACTGTACCACTGCGTCAGCGCGGGGAAGCATGTCGTCCGGTCAAGGTCCTTTTTCCCGGCCTGGCCACCGAGCTTATCCGGCGACATAGTGTTTGGCTAACCCTCGCATCCCACGTCTTTCCTGCATCCCGGCACGCGGATGATGCTTACCCGCGGGCAGCAAGTCGATCCCGAATGCAAGGTTCACCCACCCGAAGCGGCCGATTCCTATCTCTCGTGCTAGCATTCGGACAAACTGAGATGCCCCAAGGATCACTCCGACGTCGCCGGTCACCTCATTGAGACGAGTAAGCTGCGTGGTGGGGGTCACGGATATTCTTTTTTTCGCATTCTTGCCAAGGTTGGGAGAAAAAGGATGGATGACTGTCCTCGGTATGCGTACAACAAATGCGATGCATGTCTTGTCCAGCTGGAGCAACCTAACTGGCCGTCGGCGCAATACGACCAACCTTGTATCACACGGGCTTGACGTGAACACCAAGCTGTACGAAAGAGCCCGCCAGGAATCTCCACAACACCTGCAGTGAGTATCACGTCTAACTAAATTGCATCAGCGGTAGTATCCGAAAAGCCCTGCCAGGGTTCCGCTCCGCCCCAGGATCAGGATCAAGAGCGTTTCTTGTAGTTGCGGGAGTTCCCGAATGGGAGCCAATGGCGTATAGCACTATGAATTCGGCAAGTCGGCTCGTACCGTTTGAGCTTTGGCTTCCAAGACGAATGGCTGTGGGAGAAAAAAGACGTCTACCAATGAGGGCTCGGGAGACACAGCCCGTTGTGATGATTGGGAGCAAGCCCCCCGTCTTATAAGTCAAGCCAGGAGACTGTGGCTCATTAGATCCGTATCATGTATCATGCAGTGGCTGAGTTGACCCTCCTTTCCACTTGGCAGTGTAGACACTCGGATATGTCTTGCATCACACTGGAGTCACGAATTGGTACAAGTTAAGGGGGCTGTGAGCTTGGATTGCCACGATCTACTGATCCTGAAGCCCACGCTTTAGGATAAATGAGATCTATGCTCTCTTAAAATCCATACGGTGCTCAATCAGCCAGTGTCAGTGGACGAGTAATACTAGCTAAAGATGCATAATGAATGTTATAACCAATTTATCCCGTATCCCACCCCAAGGTTATCAGAATGAATGCAATTCAATAGTCTAGCAAAGAATAATGCAACTACGCAACCGATACTCGAGCAGTCTTGTGAGATATACTCTCCAAATCGAGTGATTATCGTCACTCAGGTTTAATATACGTTTCATTATCATGGCAACTCGTTACAAGTAAAGACATTGACCTCGTATATCGACACGAAGACTTCAATCCCCCCCACCCCAATATACCCCCAACTATCCACTCAGTCCCCAAATGCCGTATACACTCGCAACCTGAGATCTCCGTCATCCATCATATATCCTTCCTACTCTAGTTCCCCCAACTTCTCTGCAACACCAAGCAGCCCCTTGTCCCCCTCCGTCACCCACAAGTCCACCCACGTCTTCGCCTCGCTATATCTCTCCTCCTCCCGCCCCCACGCCTCCTCCCTATCCCTCTCGACGTATATCGTCCGCAGTCCGCAGCCCCTCGCGGCATCGAGATCCCCGAGATGCGTCGCCACCAGGGCCACCTCCTCCGGCCGCAAGCCCAGCGCTCGCACGGCGCCCAGGTACGTTGCCGGATCGGGCTTGTACACCTTGAACGTCTCGGCAGAAAAGATGTTTTGGAAAGACAGGCCGCCAAAGTCAACGAGATCGCGCAGCAAGCTAGTGTTTCCGTTAGACAGCGTGCCAGTGGCGTATCTGCGGCCCAGCGCCGCAAGGCCATCGGGCGAGTCCGGCCACGGAGCGAGGCGATGCCAGACGAGGCTCAAGCTCTCAATCTCCGTCTCGGAAAAGAGGCCATCGAGGTCCCATTTCCCGAGGAGCTCGACGAGGCTGTCGTGGTGGTGCTGGTCGACGCTCTTCCAGGGATCCGTGTCCGGGTTGAAGGATCTCGTAAAGGCGCTGTACGAGTCACGCCATTCCTGGATGAAGCGGTCCCAGTCCTGCTGCGTGAGGCCTTCGAGACGAGCTTTCAGGGTAGGCGCAAGGGTTTCTCGAGAAGAGAGTTTGCGGAATGTGCGGAGGGAGATTTCGTCTGTGACGGAGGAGCGCCAGTCGACGACGGTGCCGAAGACGTCGAAGAGGAGGGCTTTGATGTTGCTGAGGGGTGAGGTTTTTGAGGGCATGTTGGTTTTATTCCTTCCTTCTTTATTTTTTTGGTGTATTTCGCCGTATCTTTATATGAGAATTCTTGCTAAAAGGAAGTTGGATGAAGAGATTTGTCTCGGCATCGATATACTTGAAGCCGGCGTTGCGTTTTGTTTGAGTCACACACTTGGGGTTGATGAAGCGTTCACCGAGGTTAAAGTTTAGATCTATAAAATCACATGATTAAATGTCGCCATCGACAACCCAACAAACCTCCCTTTGAACACAGCAGCAATAGAAATGGAAATAATACAACCAATTATACGTCATGAGATGCCGAAATTCTCACATGGGAACAAACATGCAGTGATACTGATGTCTTTTCTGCGTCGTGTTGTTGTTGTTGTTGTAGGGTAAGAAGGGAGGCGTCTCGCGGCGTGTATGTGACCACTTCCTCCATTCATCTATGGATCTATACCAAATAATGCAGATTATTTTTTGACGTGAGAAAACTAATTGGTATAGCAGTATAAACGCCTTTCATGAATACGAAATAGAATTGATGACAAGTGGTTGCGATACGAGTTCCTAGACGGCGGCCTCGGTATACCAACCGACACGATACGACCTTTCATGCGCAACATACCATCACCACACTCATTGGGTAGGTGATATTGCAAACGCAATGAAACTATCAAAGTTTGATACGAATCGTAATAGCTTAATAGCAAACCCCGGCAAGCTTTGGCCAAAGCCACCATGCACTCCCTACCAGTACATAACCGAGTTTCAGCATCTGCAAGAGATATTGCTCGGAACCAACCCGTAGCCGAGTGTGACGCACTTACATCAAACACGCCACTGTGATGAATGCATCTCATTGCACATGGCACATTTGCCACATGTATTTCGGCAAGCCACTATCACGAACTGAGGCTTGATAGGCGGTCGGTCAGTCGCAGGATGACGACCAGTCTGGGATACGATATCCGTAGAGCATTCTTGATGTCAGAGGGAGCATTACGTGCCAATCTGCCAAGGAGATTGCTCCGCAAACGCAAGCGAGAGGAAATAAAGCCACTGGCGCAAGGACCAACCATTTATTCGAAACGCCCGCCATCGCACTGCCGCTGGACTGGAGGCTATCAGAGCCACGACAAGTCCCATTAGGCTCGTGGCCTACCTAATATTAGCAGCCAACTCCCAACTAGTCGAGGCTCGATGAAATAAGTTGACTGACATGTGGATGCCACTGCGGCTGTCATTTGTTACCCTTGTCCACCAACGCCCGCCCCGTCAGAGTGTGTTCGTAACTGACATATGAAAGTGACTGCCGGCATTATGATATTGTAGAGCTTCCCAATGCCAAAAGTAGACTTCGTGTGCGGCTGGCAAGCTGCCAAGATAGCTGAAAAGAAAGCTACGCTCTTTGTAGACAGAGGTACAACGTACCTACGGACTTTTTGCTTTATCAAAAGAAAGCTTCCCTCAGTACCCATTGTAAATGTTGTGTTACCCTGATAGTGATGGCTAAGGTGTGGATCCTTTGTGATGAGAGCGCGTGGAGCCTCGAAAACAACAAAAAGGAACATAGATGGCAGGCTTGCCAGCGGCAAAAAGGGAAAAGACGTATCATCATCCAGCTCTAACAGTCCCAATGGAAATGAGAACGTGATCGTGCGGGGATGTGCAAGGAGACTTAGCCGGATACCAGCCCCAGGCAAGCGAGGAGAGGTGAGCACCAACGCAGACAAGTAAGGAGTACATGTCCAGAACCTTGTACAATGATGTTGTCGACACATCTCCATACCAACGGCATCTCCGGGGATACATTGCTATCCCTAAGGTGGCAGCCCAGTCCACGCCATAGCAAGTGTGGAGGGATACAATGATATCAAAAACAGGCACCACTAGGAGGACGCGGATGGGCGGCCCGGAACAATGGTGGCCAACGTCCCGCTGTGCAGGTGGCTGATATACCCAGTATGAGATGGCCCAGGTTTCATTATCATGTCTCGTAGCTTCAGCGGCACATTTCGATTGAGGCGATTGGCCCATCAATTGAGTGAAATATTCAAGGCAATGCCCGCTAGGTCGGCTATTGCTGCCGGCATGCCGCTATGTTTGGGTTGGTCTCTCCAGACACCCTTGCCCCGGGTTATGTGGTATTCATGATCTGCTATCGCTTTGCTCGGTGGGCACAGAAGTTATTGGCTGTGGTAGCATATGAAAGATGGCATGGTAGAGTACAGAGTGGTTCCCTGTACCACATACGAGTACTACGTGCTGAGTGGTGCGTCTTCAATGCCCAGTTCAGTTCAGCTCTGTCTTGTTTGTACTCAGCTGAATGTAAGAAAGTAGCCTGTGGCTTCTATTGAATGCTGATCTTTCCACCCTGGGAAAGTGATCTGGATCCCCGAAGCGTTTAAGAAGGCAATAGTTTATGGACTTGGCGGGCGGGGGTAGTATCTCGCAGCTTTCTCTGTTCCTCTCGGTACGTCTGGAGATTGGCCGTTTGATGCTTGAGCCCTGGACATCTGTCAGTGTTGACAGATTCAACATCTATTAGAACCTCTCATATTCCCGCCTCTGTGTAAATGGGACATGGAGAGACTACGGCCGATATGCTATAGCCACAACCGTATGAAAGGCGACGGGGGTTACCGCAATCGTCTTTGTACTGGACAAGGCTCAACGGTACTCGTAAATATCAGATCCAGCGGCCCAGCAACTTGACTTCCTTGTTCCTACTCTTTTCCTTTTTTAGGCATGTAATAATTGGCGAGCAAGAGACAGTACGCCGGACAGGACTTGTTGTATTAGTGCTGTAAGTCGTTCGGTATGGAGGTGGAGTAGCAGTAGAAAGCGGAGAAATTGCAGGAGCATGGCAATCGCCCTATCACCCATCACATCTCAGGCTAACCTGAGGGAGCGAGCTCGACTAGCACCAAGAGAGCTGATGTGGTAGGTGGAGTATGCTGCATTTGATAGTGGGATTTGAGAAGCACGCAGCTGTGCTCTGGTTGCTCATGTTCCCCTGCATGGCCCGTTGAGCTAATTAAGCATCGGTTGGAGAGATCCTTCGATGACATGAGGCTTGCATGAAGGAACAAAAAGGTCTGGCGATTCCGTAATTTGGCGGTAGCTTGGTTGCCAACAGCTAATAGGCCTACTAGGTGGGTATAACTGAGTTGGCTAGAAGAGCTGATGATCGGCGTCCGTCTTCTGTGGAGGGACTACCAACGGCCTAGATTCGACAGCAGACGGGGGAGATAAAAAAGCAAAAATCGTCCTTTGCCACTGATCATCTTGCCCAAGTCAGCTGTCCGTGCCATTGAGGGGCTTCGACGAGACGCCGGCGCCATCTGTCAGTTGACTGCTTCCGTGGAGAGAGCCTCAAATGCCGTGCGCACGGAGCAAGATTCATATCGTTTTGTTAACGTTCTGATGGCGACTAAGCCTCGTCATGGATAACCTAGCTGTCAGACAATTAAAGATCATCACAGGAATATCCCGTGTACGAAGCTTTCACTCGTATCTGCTCTGGTTTCGGCCATGCCGACCCCGATGAACATGCGGGCCAAAAAGAAAAAAGAAAAAACCATCAGCAGGACCTTATCCCCATGTCTGCTCAATTAATTGGGGATGGGCCGTACCAAGTAAGGTTGGTTCCCCTAAAAGAGCACGAGGACCGGGCTGGTTTGCCAAGCTCGGCCCGCTTCCTAGGCCAGCATAGTTTCGGGCCTCTTGAAATCGAAGAACAGTGACCCTGGTCGCGATTAATTTCCAAAGCGGCCAGGGAGGCCAGCTAAAGTAAATGAGCCAACCCGTACCCCATACCAGTGGCCTCCATACAAGCGCAATGCCAGGGACGTGTACGATGTACCAGCAGTGCTGTACCCCCTACGGACAGCATTCCCCATAACATTGGAAGGATGGAGCACAGCAAGTACTGTGCAAGTAGTATCGCGGAATCTGCAGGACGATGCAAGGTACGCGCTCAGGATTGTAGAGCGTGGAAAATAGCCGAGTACCACTATGGTGGAAGACTTGAAAATAAACCCGGCACATGCACTTGTGTGTACTCGTACTCTGTTGCAACATCACACCCGTGTGCTTCAGTCGAGAGGGCAACTGACACAGCAGAGTCTCACCATAGTACCGGGCCGTAGCGCAGGCGACTCGGCGGCGTGTACCCGAAAAGGGGGAGGAAATGGGTAGGTAGGCACAGTCCATCGTATGGGGTACCAATAGTAATGGCGATGACGCTCGCAGGCCTTGAATGATGACCCGAATAATGAGACTAACTTTGGGCCAACAATTGCGAATCCTCTCATCATTTCCTGGAGAAGCAATGTAGTGGCTGCCCATCGGCCGCCGTGGCGAGTATCATCCCGGGCCTGGAGTTCCATACGAGTACTTGTACGAGTACAAGCATGGTAGTCTAGAAACATTCGCTCTAGCCAGGATGCTCCTCCTATCCGCGCATACACTTGAACAGGCGCGATTTCGGATAATGTCGTGAGGGTGGTCCTGACAGGGATCCATCCAGGTGACACCGGTAGCCTTGCATATGTGATATTGCCGTGCATCCACGCTGGCTTACATGAGTGAATGCCTCCGCAAGATCAAGCGTTGCCGTCCACTTTCAACGGTACATAGCCGAGAGCCCTCCTAGGTGCTGTTATTATGTTATGCCATTCCAAGACTGTTGGGCTCTTTACATAATTTAACGTTGTTCCCTCATAAAAGAAAAGGCCGGCGCAATATCCCATACAAGGTAAGAGCAGGAAGCCCCATGCTGGCGACAATTTCTACCAGCCTTCAGTCCGTCACCAATCCGGGCGCGTTGATAGTCAACTGTATTCCGTACGAAGAGCGGGCACACTCATGTTGCCGTATCATATTCGGTCTCGCACCGGACAATGGTGAAACAAAATAAAGAAAGCCACTGGCCGGATCCTACGCTTTGCGGCCGGGAATGAGACGCCACAGCGCCATCTGCCAGGCCAACAGCAGCTGTAATACTGGTGGTGCC